GTTTTTTAAAGAATATCTCGGCCTTCGGGGGTCCAAAGTGGCTCTCGCAGGAGGTCATGGTGCTCACAAAGGCGAGGTCATCAGTTCAAGGCAACCTCATAAACCCAAACTGATTGGCAAAAAAAAAAAAAAAAAAAAAAAAAAGAATATCTCGGCCTAGTGTGTTTGCTCACACCTGTAATCCCAGCACTTGGAGGCTGAGATGGGAAGATCACTTGAGATCAGGAATTCGAGACAAGCCTGGGCAACATGCTGAAAATCCCATTTCTACTAAAAATACAAAAATTAGCTGAGTGTGGTGGCACGTGCCTGTAATCCCAGCTACTCGGGAGGCCGAGGCAGGAGAATTGCTTGAACCCAGAAGGCGGAGGTTGCGGTGAGCTGAGATCGAGCCATCGCCCTCCAGCCTGGGCGACTGAAGGACACTCAGTCTAACAAATAAATAAAATAAAAATAATAAAATGAATCAGGTGCAGTGGTGTGCGCCTGTAATTCAAGCTACTCAGGAGGCCGGGGCAGGCGAATCGGCTGAACCTGGTGGCGGAGATTGCAGTGAGCTGAGATCACACCGCTGTTTGCCCAGTGTTGTAGTGCTCTGGGTTGCTGAACTTATTTGACCAGGCCCCTAGCAATAGACCGTGAAGTTCACAGGCCTGGCGCGGTGGCTCATGCCTATATAATCCCAGCACTTTGGGAGGCCGAGGTGGGTGGATCACAAAGTCAGGAGACTGAAGTCTGAAGCCAGGCTTCAGACTGAGACCATCCCTGGCCAACATAGTGAAACCCCATCTCTACTAAAAGTATAAAAATTAGTTGGGCACGGTGGCAAGTGCCTGTAGTCCCAACTACTCGGAAGGCTGAGGTAGGAGAATCATTTGAACCTGGGAGGCGGAGGTGGCAGTGAGCCGAGATCATGCCACTGCACTCCAGCCTGGCAACAGAGTGACATTCCATCTCAAAAAAAAAAAAGTTCTTTTCCACTTTTCACTCTTAAGATGCTGCTGTGACGAATGAGGAGCTTTTTGATCCCTTCACAAACACTTGGGGCCCTCTGACCAGCTTTCCCTGAAGGTCTTGACATTCCTATCTGCTGAGGTGTTTGGGGGAGATACTGAAGAGCTGGGGCTCCGAGGCAGGTGCGGTGCATGTGCTGGGCAGGCAGCAAGGTCCAATTCACCAGACACCCCCACCTCTGTTTTCCTGCAGGGACTCCAGAACGGGTGGAGCTGGCACCCCTCCCTGCTTGGCAGCCAGTGGGCGAGAACCTTACCCTACGCTGCCAGGTGGAGGGCGGGGCACCCCGGGCCAACCTCACCGTGATGCTGCTCCGTGGGGAAGAGGAGCTGAGCCGGCAGCCAGTGGTGGGGGAGCCCGCCGAGGTCACGGTCACGGTGCTCGCAGGCAGAGATGATCACGGAGCCAGTTTCTCGTGCCGCACTGAATTGGACCTGCGGTCCCAAGGGCTGGAGCTGTTTGAGAACACCTCGGCCCCCCACCAGCTCCAAACCTTTGGTGAGGATTGAGGAAGCTGGCAGGGAGAGGGTAGAGTATCCTGGAATGGGGTGCCCCGGCCTCAGGATCTTCTGACAAGGGTGTGGCCTGCCAAACTCAGTGGCTCACGCCTGTAATCCCAGCACTTTGTGAGGCCAAGGTGGGTGGATCACCTGAGGTCGGGAGTTTGAGACCAGCCTGACCAACATGGAATAAAATAAAAAATTAGCCAGGTGTGGTGGCACATGCCTGTAATCCCAGCTACTCGGGAGGCTGAGGCAGGAGAACTGCTTGAACCCAGGAGATGGAGGTTTCGGTGAGCTGAGATCATGTCATTGCACTTCAGCCTGGGCCACAAGAGCTAAACTCCATCTCAAAAAAAAAAAGGGTTGGCCCCAGCTGAAGGGTGCATGTGTTCTAGGCGTATGTGGCCTAGGCTGCTGAGTCGCCGTGGAAGAGGATCTTGCAGGAGGGGAATGAAATGCCCCGAGAAGGGTTTCGGGTCATCCATCCCTGTCTGCTCACACTTACCCTCTTTCCCCAGTCCTGCCAGTGACTCCACCACAACTTCTCAGCCCCCGGGTCCTGGAGGTGGATACGCAGGGGACCGTGGTCTGTTCCCTGGATGGGCTGTTCCCAGTCTCGGAGGCCCAGGTCCACCTGGCGCTGGGGGACCAGAAGCTGAACCACACAATCACCTATGGCATCGATGCCCTCTCGGCCAAGGCCTTGGTCAAGGGGACCGCAGAGGAGGAGGGCACCCAGCGGCTGTTGTGTGCAGTAATACTAGGGAACCAGAGCCAGGAGACGCGGGGGACAATGACTGTCTACAGTAAGAATGGGCAGGGGACAGATCAGGGCTTCCTGGGGGTGTGAACTGAACCGGCAATGGGGCTCACTGTGTGTCCGCCCTCAGGCTTTCCGGCACCCAAAGTGATTCTGACAGAGCCTGAGGTCTCAGAAGGAACTGAGGTGATTGTGAAGTGTGAGGGCCACCCCAGAGCTATGGTGATGCTGAATGGGGTCCCAGCCCAGACACCGGGCCCGAGGACCCAGTTACGGCTGAAGGCCAGGCCAGAGGACGATGGGCGCAGCTTCTCCTGCTCTGCGACCCTGGAGGTGGCCGGACAGGTTGTACACAAGAACCAGACCCGGGAGCTCCGTGTGCTGTGTGAGTGAGGCTGCTGGACAAAGACCCCTGTCCCCCCAAGGCCCAACCCCTGACATCCCATAAGCTCTTGCCCTCCAAGTCCCACCCCCACCCATAAGGGGAGCCCTCCCTGAAGTCCTGCAGTCCTAGATGGGGAGGGATATTCTGTTCCCAACCTCCATCTCATCTTGTGTTTTTCCAGACGGCCCCCAACTGGACGAGAAGCATTGTCCAAGAAACTGGACGTGGCCAGAAAACTCCCAGCAGACTCCGACATGCCAGGCTTGGGGAAATCCCTCACCCCAGCTTGAGTGTCTAAAAGATGGCACTTTGCCCCTGCCCATCGGGAAATCAGTGACTGTCACACGGGATCTCTCGGGCACCTACCTCTGTCGGGCCACGAGCACTCGAGGGGAGGCCACCTGCGAAGTGACCGTGAATGTGGTGACCGTGCCCTGTGAGTGATCGAGTCTGCAGGACTGGGTGGGGCAGAGGCCATGGGCCCCTTGCAATCCTCACCACCCCTTGTATCCTCCCCACAGCCCCCCGGCATGAGATGGTCATCATCGCTGTCGTGGTGACTGTAGCAATCCTGAGCACTGCAGGCTTCGCCGTGTACCTCTATAACCGCCAGAGGAAGATCAGGAAATACAGACTCCAACGGGCTCAAAACGGGACCCCCATGAAACCCATCACACAAGCCACGCCTCCCTGAACCTACCCCAGGATGGGGCCTCTTCCTTGGCCCTCCCATCTGGTGGTAGTGGTGCCACACAGAACAGAGTGGCAGACGTATGCCATACAGCTACACCCAGTGGCCCTGAGATGCCAGAGGGCAGGGCATTGGTCTCAGTCAGATGCAGATGGCATTTGGGGCCATGGCACCTGCTGCACACCGAAAACACTAGGCCAGGCATGTGATCTGCAGTCACGTGACTAAGTCAAGAGGAAGGGGCAAGACTCAAGACGTGACTGTGATGGACGTCAAAGTCTAGCCTGGCAAGAGGGGAAGAGGTGGGGGAAACATATCCCTACCATAAGGACACACAGCCAGGAAATACTGCAATTCGCTGGCCACAGCCCTGCAGCCCTACAGAAGTGGCCCTGCACAGACACGTGTCGCAGCAAAACATAATGCCCGCGCTTCCTGACAGATGCCAGCTTGGGCACTGCTGTCTATTGACTGTCCCCAACCTTTGATATGTATTTATTCATTTTTTATTTTACCAGCTATTTATTGAGTGCTTTTTATGTAGGCTAGGATGGAGAACAAGATGAACATAGGTCTCTGGTCTCACGGAGCTTCCAGCCACAGTCACATTCAGGTACAGTTGTACAGGTTGTACACTGCACAAGAGTGCCTGGCAAAAAGATCAAATGGGGCTGGGACTTCTCGTTGACCAACCTGCCTTTCCCCAGAAGGAGTGATTTTTCTGTTTGGCATGAAAGCACCGTATGGACTAGTAATGGTTACAGGTTCAGAACTGGAGCGACCCAGCGAGGCCTTACTCCTCCCTCCCCTCAAAAACGGACACCTTTTTAGCCACTCCCCACCCACATACATTCCTGCCAGTGTTCACAGTGACAGTGGTAATGCCTGGAGAGTGCCCAGAGAATATGCCCGACCTCTGCCTTGTTCTGTTTGCAATTCAGTGGGACCTCACACTACACAGCTCCGACTTCCTGCAGTGATCAGAGTCCTGCAAGCAGGGGGCAGGGGCTGAGGTACTGGAGGACGCCCCCCAGCTCTAGAAGCCTCTGCGTGTGTGTGTGTGTGTGTGTGTGTGTGTGTGAGAGAGAGAAGGGGGCCAAGGTAATGGAGGACTCCATCTCAGCTCTGGAAGCCTCTTTGTGTGTGTGTGTGTGTGAGAAGGGGGCCAAGGTAATGGAGGACTCCATCTCAGCTCTGGAAGCCTCTTTGTGTGTGTGTGTGAGAAGGGGGCCAAGGTAATGGAGGACTCCATCTCAGCTCTGGAAGCCTCTGTGTGTGTGTGTGTAGACAAGGTCTTGCTCTGTCACGCAGGCTGGAGTACAGTGGTGCAATCATAGTTCACTACAGCCTTGACCTCCTGAGCTCAAGTGATCCTCCCACCTCAGCCTCCTGAGTAGCTGGGGCCACAGAGGCACGCCACCACACCTGGCAAATTGAACTTTTTTGTGGAGACAGGGTGTCACGACATTGCCCAGACTTCCTTTGTGCTAATAAAGCTTTTCTCATCTGCCTCAGCCTTGTGTGAGTTGAGGGGAGGTGTCACATCCAGCTGGAGTCCTTTCTAAGCAGCCCCAGCCCCATCCTCCCACTTCCTCTCCCAAGAAAAACATTGTGAACTCATGGCCATATCTTGAGGTTCTGGTCCAAATCTGGGACTATTTATGACCTTCTGGGTCTGTAGTGAAAACTGGACTCCTCTCCAGAAAAAAAATATTTGGTTTCCAATGAGGCCTGGAATCCCCCGACCCCCACCACCTTTTTTTTTGAGATGGAGTCTTGCTTGGTGGCCCAGGCTGGAGTGCAGTGGGCGATCTCAGCTCACTGCAACCTCTGCTTCTTGGGATTACAGGCAGGCACCACCACACCTGGCTATTTTTTGTATTTTTAGTAGAGACGGGGTTTCACCATGTTGGTCAGACTGGTCACAAACTCCTGACCTCGTGATACGCCCACCTCGGCCTCCCAAAGTGCTGGGATTACAGACTTGAGCCACCGCGCGCGGCCTGGAATCCCATTCTTGACCCGGGGAGAAGAATCTCTTTCTGCGGGACTCCTGGGCCCTCTAATGGGGCCTCCCCTCCCTCTCCAGGGCGGAATTGAGGAGGCGGGGCTGCGGGCCTCCTTATCTCCAGAGCCAGCCCTGGCTGCCTGGCGCGGGGTCCCTCAGTCCGGGCTTTTTGCCATGGGGTCTCTGTTTCCCCTGTCGCTGCTGCTTTTTTTGGCAGCCGCTTACCCGGGAGTTGGGAGTGCGCTGGGACGCGGGACTGAGCGGGCACGAGGCTCCAAGGGTAGCTCTCCCACGCCCTCGGGGACCTCAGTGCCCTTCTGGGTGCGCGTGAGCCCGGAGTTCGTGGCTGTGCCGCCGGGAGGGTCAGTGTGGCTCAATTGCAGCAACAGCTGTCCCCAGCCGCAGAATTCCAGCCTCCGCACCCGGCTGCAGCAGGGCAAGACGCTCAGAGGGCCGGGTTGGGTGCTTTACCAGCTGCTCGACGTGAGGGCCTGGAACTCCCAGGCGCACTGTTTTGTCACCTGCGCAGGAAAAACGCGCCGGGCCACCGCCAGGATCACCGCCTACAGTGAGGGATAGGGGCTCGGTCCGGCTGGGGTGAAGGGAGGGGGCTGGAAGAGATGGGGGGAGGGCAGTTGACAGTCGCTCTATAGGGGGCGCCCGCGGACCTCACTCAGAGGGTCCCCCTTGCCTTAGAACAGCCCCACAGCGTGATTTTGGAGCGTTCGGTCTTAGAGGGCAGGAAATACACTTTGCGCTGCCACGTGACACACGTGTTCCCCGTGGGCTACTTGGTGGTGACCCTGAGGTGTGGCGGCCGGATCATCTATTCCGAAAGCCTGGAGCGGTTCACCCGCCTGGATCTGGCCAACGTGACCTTGACCTACGAGTTTCCTGCTGGACTCTGCGATTTCTGGCAGCCCGTGATCTGCCAAGCGCGCCTCAATCTCGACGGCCTGATGGTCCGCAGCAGCTCTGCACCCATTACACTGATGATCGGTGAGGCACCCCTGTAATCCTGGGGACTAGGAGGAAGGGAGCAGAGAGGTTTATAACCCCAAGAAGGCGCACAGACCAAGCGTGAGTTCCACGCGGGTCAACAGACTTCCCTCTGTCCCCTTCCTAATTCTTGCCTCCTGCTCCCAGCTTGGAGCCCCGCGCCCACAGCTTTGGCCTCCTGTTCCATCGCTGCCCTTGTGGGGATCCTCCTCGCCGTGGGCGCTGTGTACCTGTACAAGTACCTAGCGATGAAGTCTCCGGAGTAAAGCGGGGTGTTCTATGCTGGCTAAACGAGACAAAAGAGAAATCTGGAACAATTTGGGGAATCTCCTGAACACGGTGGCTGACGCCTGTAATCCCAGCACTTAGGGAGGCCAAGGCAGGAGGACTGCTTGAGCCCAGGAGTTTGAGACCAGCCTGGACAACATGGTGAGACCCCATCTATGCAACAAATACAAAAATTAGCCGGGCTTGGTGCCGCGCGCCTGTGGGCCCAGCTACTCGGGAGGCTGAGTGGGAGGATTGCTTGAGCCCTGAAGGTCGAGGTTGCAGTGAGCCTTGATCGTGCCAGCACTCCAGCCTGGGCGACAGAGCGAGACCCTGTCTCAAAAATAAAAATAAAAATAAATATTGGCTGGGGAACCCTCCGGAAGTCAATAAAGGCTTCCTTAACCAGCCTCTGTCCTGTGACCTAAGGGTCCCATTATTGCCCTTCTTCAGAGGAACTGTTTTTTGTTTTGTTTTGTTTTTTGCGATCACTTTCTCTAAGTTCCTTGACTCCCTGAGGGCACCTGAGGTTTCCTCACTCAGGGCCCACCTGAGGTCCCGAAGACGCAGACTCTGTGTATCCGCAGCGGGTGTCGCAGAAACCTCTCCTGCTGGCATTATCGAGGCTGTGCAGATGGGATCAGCGCGGTCCAGAAGGGCCACGGGCAGGGGCGGGGCGGGGTTCACGGTCAGGCTTTCCTGATTGGCGCCGCCGCCACCGCGCGGCAGCTCTGATTGGATGTTAAGTTTCCTATCCTAGCCCCACCTTCAGAACCTGTGCTTTCCTGGAGAACAACTGTGGAGCAAGAACTCATCTCTAAAATAGCTCACCGGGCTACGGTGAGACCATGAATGGTAGAGAGGGAAGGGTCCCATGGACATATTGAGGGACGTGGATACGCAAAAGAGGTACCCATGCAGCCGGGAAGGGGTGATCAGATAGTTCACAAATTCGAATTCTGACGATGTTCTGGTAGTCACCCGGCCAGATGAGCACATGGAGTTGGGGGTGGGGGTTGTCAAAGCTTGGGGCCCGGATGCAGAGTCAAAAGAGTCACCCCCGGTCCCTCGTTCTCGCGTGGAGGGCCAGGGCCCCAGCCCACCGAGCAGAAGGCGGACCTGGGAGCTCCTGGGCGGCTGGCGCTCTCACACGCTGAGTAGACACGTGCCCGCTGCACGCTGGGTAAATACAGACCCGGAGCCGAGCGGATTCTAATTTAGACGCCCGCGAACGCTGCGCGCAGGCACACGTGTCCCCGGCTCGCTGGCATTTTCGTCCCGCCCCCTCTGTCGCGAGCCGGGACTGAGCGGGAGGGGGGGCTTAGGGGTGTGGCTCCGCGGGGTCAAAAGGAGAAGGACGGGTGAGAGAGGCATCCCCACATCCTTCCCTAGAACTGTCCTTTCCCCAGCCAGTGCCTCCCAAACCTCTCTCAGTCCCCAAATGAATCCCCGCCCTAAGGGGCGCTGGTGGGAGGAGCTACATGTGGGGGCGGAGCTCGGAGTCCAGCTCATTATCACAGCATCTCAGCCAGGGCTGGGGTAGGGGTTTGGGAAGGGCAACCCAGCATCCCTCGATCCCAGAGTCGCGGCCGAGGATGACGCGAGAGAGCGTGGTCGCCCCCAGAAGGCTCTGGGCCATCATGCCGGCCTCCACGTAGACCCCGGGGTCGCTCGCTCCTGCCAGCTCGCCTTCACCAAGGCCAGGAGCTTAGCGCACGCTCGCCTCCCGCCCCCCCGCCGCCTCTGCCGCCGCCCCCTCCTTGGAAACCAAGTTACCAACGTTAAACCAATCCCCGAGCGCAACTCTGCCTCCCCCACACCCCACCCGCCGCGCCGCGCCGAGCCGTCCTCTAGCCCAGCTCCTCGGCTCGCGCTCCCCTCGCCTCCTGCGCTTTCCCCGCCGCGGCGATGCCAGGGCCTTCGCCAGGGCTGCGCCGGGCGCTACTCGGCCTCTGGGCTGCTCTGAGCCTGGGGCTCTTCGGCCTCTCAGGTAAGAGCCCCGCTCTGGCTCGGGGTGGACAGGGCGGGGGCGGAGTTCCCGGACATGAAAAGCGGCCTCCTGTCCCTCCTGGCTCCGCCCTCGCCTCTCTCCCACGCCTCTGCCCCCACCTCGAGCCTGAGTCTTCTCCCCTTCCCCCTCCTCCCAAATACACACCCAAGCCCCAGCTTCCTGACCCCTCGATCGCCCCTACCCGTTTCGAGCTCCTAGGTGCTCTTCCGCACCAAGCCCTGCGCCCTGGAGACTCGGAGTCTCTCCTGTCCCCTCCCCGGGTACCTCCTCACGCTCTGCTGTGCACCATGGTCCACGGACTGGCATCTTCCCCACTCGCGGTCCGCGAAGACTCCATCTCTCCAACTACCGTGACTCAGAAACGCTGTTCCCGCTCTGCCCGGAGCCCTGGCAACCGGGCCCCTCGGCTGTTCCCGCGGTTCCTTCCATGAGCCCAGCCCTGCGTCCTGGTTCCGTGTTCTTCACCGGGTGTAGGGTCCTTCCTGATCCTTGATCCACCTATCTGGAGCCCATCTCTCCTTTGCCCTTGCGGCAAACGCACTCTCCCCGTATCTCGGGATTCTACCAGGACCCTGAGAACCGGTTTATCCCCCACCCGCCACCTGGGGTCCCCTGCTCTCAGCCTTGCTGTATGCATCGAAGACCCCATCTTTCCTTTCCTCTACCCCCTCCCCCTCCCATGTTTTCCCGCCGCTCCGTCGGCGCTTTGGAGACCAGGGATCTCTGGTACCACGTCCCAGAGACACCCTCGAGGTTTAGACTCTGGGAGCGTGCCTTTAAACCCAAGGCCTGGGCAGGACGCAGGACGCCTGGGTTCTTTCCCTGGCTTCAGCCTCTCCTCCTCCTCCCCGCCCTCCGAGAACCCTTGACTCGACATAAGGGCGCTAACATGTCGGGGAGTTGGCTCCCCAGGCTGAGCCCGCGTTTCCCTGGGCAGCGGTCTCGCAGGAGCCCTTCTGGGCGGACCTGCAACCCCGCGTGGCGTTCGTGGAGCGCGGGGGCTCGCTGTGGCTGAATTGCAGCACTAACTGCCCTCGGCCGGAACGCGGTGGCCTGGAGACCTCGCTGCGCCGAAACGGGACCCAGAGGGGTTTGCGTTGGTTGGCGCGGCAGCTGGTGGATATTCGCGAGCCGGAGACCCAGCCCGTCTGCTTCTTCCGCTGCGCGCGGCGCACACTACAGGCGCGTGGGCTCATTCGCACTTTCCGTGAGTTCTGGGTGGCCTCGCGCGTACTCCACTACTTTCCCTCCCTCCCAGGCACCGCCCTCTGGGTCCAGGGTCCTCCCCTTCAGGCCCCACCCTCTGTGTCCCCACCCCCTCCCCTGGGTTCCAAGTTCTGGCGTTCCAAGAGCCGCGGACTCTTCCCACTTGCAGAGCGACCAGATCGCGTAGAGCTGGTGCAGCTGCCTCCCTGGCAGCCGGTGGGCGAGAACTTCACCCTGAGCTGTAGGGTCCCGGGCGCTGGGCCCCGTGCGAGCCTCACGTTGACCCTGCTGCGGGGCTCCCAGGAGCTGATCCGACGCAGCTTCGCCGGCGAACCACCGCGAGCGCGGGGCGCAGTGCTCACAGCCACGGTACTGGCACGGAGGGAGGACCATGGGGCCAATTTCTCGTGTCGCGCGGAGCTGGACCTGCGGCCACACGGCCTGGGACTATTTGAAAACAGCTCGGCCCCCAGAGAGCTCCGAACCTTCTGTGAGTGGGTGTGCGGAGATGGGACCAAGTGGGGTCAGGTCGGTGTTTATGAGGTTTAGAGAGAGATACATCCGACTGCTGGTCCTGACTTCAACCCCCACGGGCTGAGATGTTTCCCTCTCTGTGCCTTGAGGATAATTACACGTTAAGATAGTGCATGTCGAGTGCTTAGGACATACTGAGCTCTCGGAACACAAGTTCGTTCAAACTTGGTTCTTCCAACCCTAGCCCTGTCTCCGGATCCCCCGCGCCTCGCCGCTCCCCGGTTCTTGGAAGTTGGCTCGGAAAGGCTCGTGAGCTGCGCCCTGGACCAACTATTTCCAGCCACAGAGGCCCGGGTCTACCTCGCGCTGGGGGACCAGAATCTGAGTCCTGATGTCACCCACGACGGGGACGCACTCGTGGCCACTGCCACAGCCACAGCTAGCGCAGAGCAGGAGGGTGCCAGGCAGCTGGTCTGCAACGTCACCCTGGGGGGCGAAAACCGGGAGACCCGGGAGAACGTGACCATCTACAGTAAGGAGGGAAGCGGGGTCTCCGTGGCTCAGAGACAGGGCCAGAGGAACGCGAAGGCGGGGCGACGGGTGGGCGGGACCTCAGTACAGGGACAGGCGTGGCCCGAGTGTTTCCCGAAGAAGCGGGGCATGTGGCGGACGGAGCAGGTGGGGGCAGAGACGTAACCACTCGTGGGGAGGAGGCTGTGCAGCCTGAGAGGCTGGGCGCGGTACCCTAGCATGGCCTCAGCACCCCGAGGGTTCTGGCAGATAAGCGGGGGTGGGGGGGGAGCCTTGAGCGGCAGGAGGGGTTTGGTCAGTATACTCCGACCAATGCTCCGCCCCAGGCTTCCCAGCACCACTCCTGACCCTGAGTGAACCCAGCATCTCCGAGGGGCAGATGGTGACAGTAACCTGCGCAGCCGGGGCCCAAGCCCTGGTCACATTGGAGGGAGTTCCAGCCGCGGTCCCGGGGCAGCCCGTCCAGCTTCAGCTAAATGCCACCGAGAATGACGACAGGCGCAGCTTCTTCTGCAACACCACCCTTGACGTGGACGGGGAGACCCTGATCAAGAACAGGAGCGCAGAGCTTCGCGTCCTATGTGAGTTGGTGATAAACCCTCATCCTCTCTACTGGTAACTTCCAAGGACCCTCCTGATCCCTGGCCATGTCGTGGAGGCGGGGCCATTTCTCTCGGTCCACGTCTAAACCTCTGTAACCCCATGGTCTGCCCACAGACGCCCCCCGGCTGGATGATTCGGGCTGCCCCAGGAGCTGGACGTGGCCCGAGGGCCCAGAGCAGACGCTGCGCTGCGAGGCCCGCGGGAACCCAGAACCCTCGGTGCACTGCGCGCGCTCCGATGGTGGGGCCGTGCTGGCTCTGGGCCTGCTGGGTCCGGTCACTCGGGCTCTCTCAGGGACTTACCGCTGCAAGGCGGCCAATGATCAGGGCGAGGCGGTCAAGGACGTGACGCTGACGGTGGAGTGTGAGTCGGGGTGCGCAGGGTGCATCTCTGTCTGGTTCAGGGTCTGGGGGCTGGCCGGCCTATAGGGAAGAGTAGGAGTAGCGTATGAGCTGTCCCTTTGGGTGGGGTTGGGGAAAGATCTTGGAGGATGAAGAGACCAGGTGGGCGTGTCCATAGGCTGGGGCGTGGTATTTGGGCGGAGTCTTAGAAAGGCAGGCGGTCCAGAGTGTTGAAATTTTTA